GATATTTACTTTTTATTTATATATCACAATAAAAAAACAGACAAAATAACCACCATAAACTTGTTTTTATTTTTACACACATTTTTTGTTGGGATTACAGAGCTGTCTTTTTTTTCTGTGACGTACAGAACTTAAATCTTAGAAACTAAATTAATTGATGGATAAAGATCTTTGTTTTGCAGTTTTTATTCAGTGGAACAGAAAAATAAAACTGAACTGATGAGAAACTCAACCATTCAAAACAGTCGATGAAGCTAAATGACCGAAGATTCAGGAAATAAAAACAGTTCTTTGTTTTGCTGACAGCTTCATCTCCAAGCCGACGTGACGTCTTCACAGAGCCTTCGGCTGGTTTATTTTTCAGACTTGGTTTCATCCATGAAGGATGTAATATAATTGTAGAGCCGTGTCGTGTACGGGACAAAGTTCTCTTTTTGGCTGATGATYGTCGTCATATAACGATTCTGGTAGATTACTTCATTTGAGTTCTCTTTAACTTCTTCCAACTTTGTTTGTTCTGAGGAAGAGAAAAAAATAAGTTAAATACTGATTATTGTGGATGCTGACTTTAGCTRCAGTTTTACTAAATTTAGGTTTTAGCTATGACCCTATTAACTTTAGGTTCTGTGAAGCTTTTTTTAATTCATCCATTTACTTATTTTTTTTAGCTTATAACTGTATTTAATCAGAAAACGTTTATTTGTTGTTATTAGTTTGTTTTCTTGATTTCACCTCTCAATAACATAATACGAAAATAATTATTTCTATATTTAAACAGATGCTCATTCTGAAGTCTCTTAAACATATTTTTTGGAATATATATTAAATGACGTTTTAAAATATATATATAATTCATAAATTATTTTCTCTGTTGCTGTTTTACTTTAAAACCTCACAATTTGATAGTTTTTAAATAACCAAAAATACGAATTTAAACTATATTGAACACTTTGGGGTTCACCGAATTCACTGTTAGAAGTTTATTCTAATAAAAACCATCGATGGTTCAGAAAATTATCTGTGAAATGGTGTAAAACCGAAAATTTGTAAAATAAATAAATAAATAAACAATAATAATAATAATAATAAATCAGACTAATTCTCAATCGAGTTCTGAACGGCTCCTTTTCTACCATTTTTGTGCTTTTAAACAACATTTTCAGGAGGGACATTAACTTACATCAGAACTGTTATATTAAAATTAAAGTTTCAAACAGATCATCAGTGTTATTTCTAATTTACCAACAAATGTCCTCACCTGGACTGTCCGCTATACGACCTGTTTTCTTTAAAAATGCGTAAGCTCCGATGGAGGTCCAGATGCCCAGAGCGTAGAGCGCGGACATTCTGTTGTTCCACTTCACMAAATCATTAACCATGATGTCTCCAGTAAATCGGCTGCTTTCAGTTTGTTCTTGACTTTAAAAACATCAGAAAATATACAGCTTTAAATTCTGCGTAGACCTTCAGCACGCCGCCATGACACTAAACCCGGATGTTGTAAGTTTCACTTCCGGTGCATTTTTTTCTTCTTCTTCTGTTAATTTTTTCCCACAGTTTAAGGCTATTAATGCTTTATTTCATTGCAGAATAATAAATAAAGTTTGATTATCAAGATAAAAAAACATTTTAGCTGGATTAAATAAGTTTTAACTGGGTTGTGCTCTTCTATGAACTCGACAGGTCAAAGGTCACCTGGTCCTCTGAGACCTTCAGGTTCCACCTCCGGGTCACAGAACCTTGGGAGTCCCAGTCCAGTTCTCCATRACTTCAGAGAAAGATTCACTTAAAYCCTCACTTTGTGCAGAAAATAAATCAAAACAAGGAATGTAACAAACCCTGAACCACCAGAACCTTCCTGTGTGAGGGCTCATGGATCTTGGTCTGGAGGTCCATCTCAGACTGGTTTCATGGACTTTATGATGTTTGTTGAGAAGAAATCTGAAAATTGCTTTAATCTCTTTTAGATTTTAATTATTTCAATTATTTTCTCACAGATTTGTCGAGAAAATAAAGATCCTCTGATCTGTTCTGGTCCTCAGAGACTCGCACTGAACCTGCTCCTGGTTCAGGACCAGATCCTGATAAAAAACTGAATGAATCAAAAACACCTTCACATGTTACCTGTGGGTCACCTGCTGCCTCCGGTGGTTCTGACAGGTTTGTTAAAAACAGGCTGGATTCTGAAGAACCAGAAGGATTTATGGCTCTGTTCATGACTCAGAGTTTTATAAAAAGAAGATTCTGGTTCTGGATCCGGTCTGAGGTGAGTCAGACCGGATCCAGAACCRTTTAACTGAAATCATTTCATCCTTCAGGAGTTCAGCTTTGAGTTTTCAAATTAAAACAGAATTTTCATCTGTAAAGAATGTGGGTGAAGGTCCGGACCTGTCAGAACAGAACCGTCTGTCAGAACAGAACCGTCTGTCAGAACAGAACCATCTGTCAGAACAGAACCGGACCTGTCAGCTGCTGCTGGATTCATTAAACATCACTGATTTCTCTGAAATAATTCAAAATAAAAGCCTGAAGCATCCATCATCCATCCATC